CAGTCTTTATGATGGTCAATACTTGATCTATCTCTTACTGTTACATCCCCGGGCAACGCCGGGCTCTACTGCTAGTATACAATAATTTTTATTTATAATATAATTTTTTTTATAATTCTAATAATCTTTTGCATTAGATTTGAATGCTCTATATTGATTGTATGCTGTTTTTTTACAGACATAAAATTTTGCCTTTGATGTTTGCACAAAGTGTAAAAAAAAATCAGTTTTTTTTTATTTTTCACCTTCAAGGTTGTTTTTTCCAGTCAATTTGGACTCAAAACTGGCTCTGAAAAATTATCTATGAAACAAAAAAAAAAATTCATCAAATCGGATGAAAACTGTTGAAACGCATAAGCAACATCTAATCACACATATATATATATATATATATATATATATATATATATATATATATATATATATATATACACACACACACATTTTGAGAATTATAGATTTAGATGGAATGAAGACATAACAGTTAAGAATGAAATTTGAAGAGAGTGAGTTATCAAAATTTTTATTAAGCTACCCAAATATTTCCGAGAACTTATCTGTTGTGTCGTGTATATTGCTAAATAAGCGTTAAACCTCTGTTCTAGTTGGTGTCCGTTTATCATATGAGCTACCTGCTCATATGCAAATTATACTAATTTGCATCTCACTACATCTCCCTATAATGGAGGGGCCTTATGCATGAAAAGTACTTCTTGTACTTCTTCTTGTGCCCTCCTGAACATCTTCCTTTATCTCTCTCCTTTCCCTTGGAGATCTAGATCTATCACGTCTTTCCCTATAATCGAACTGTTCCTCTTGCATACTGTGGTCTTTCTCTTCTAACTTGTCCCATTCTACTTCTTCCTCCTCTAACTCATCCCTCTCTACTTCTTCCTCCGCGGTTTCATTCTGCATTAACTCTTCTGTTATGTCAATAATGGGCATCTCTGAAGGCATTTCCTCATCCGATTCTTCTCCTTGGGATCTTATTTGGTCAGCATGAGCTAGAACACTGTTCCCATTATCTTTATTTAATATTGCAGTATTATGTCCTTTCTGCATAATAAATTCGGCTGACTCGGGTTGCATATTCCTATTTCTTTTGTACCACATCTTTTGATTTATGGCATATGACATAGTCAAAGGGGACCTTAATTGTCTGCCCATTAAGGCAGATGGACTTTCTGGCCTGCCTGCATGTGGAATTGTTCTGTAACTTAATAACAGTCTTGGTAGGAAAGCATCGATTTCCTCCTTCTGTTGCAAGCATGCTTTTATGCCCTTCTTTACCGTCTGGACCATCCTTTCCGCTGTCCCATTACTTTGAGGGTGGTAGGGAGGGGTCTTGTAAGGTCTGCATCCTATTTTTCTTAGCCATTCATGCAAATCAGCATCTACAAATTCTGGTGCGTTATCAGTCACCAATGTTCTCGTGTCCCATTCCTCAAAATATTACTCTTAATATTTGTTTTATGGTGGTACTTTTTTTTTATCAGGTACTCTCACCACTTCAGGCCAACCTGAATATGCGTCTACTAATATTAATAATAGTCCTATCCCATTGACATAGGCATGGTCCATGTGTACTCTACTCCATGGTTCTACTTCTCGGGCCATACATGTATTATCTTTTTGCTTAAAATTCCTGAGTTCTATGCATTTTTTGCATCTTTTTACGTAGTCTTCTACGTCTCTTGAGTACCCCAGCCACCACGCTTCCAATTTTAATCTTCTTTGCGTAGCTGCCACTCCACAATGTACGTCATCATGTACACTTTTTATAACCCGTCTCCTCTGTGTTTCTGGAGGAACTACTAAGTCTCCATTACATATTATCCCGTTTTCTATAGTCATTCTATGTCTAATTTCTTTGAATGGTCTTTCAGCCATTGAACAATTTCCCCAGTGATTCCGTTTTATCCTCGACATTATTCTATTTAACACTGGGTCATTTGTAGTTTCAGTAGCCATTTTATTTACAGATATTACATCGGTTTCTACAAGGTGCAAGAATGTGTCTTCAAATTCCTCATCGTTTTTGTCCTTCTCCTTTCTATAAAACCTCAATCTAGATAAGGCATCAACGTGCGGTATCGTATTCCCTTTAACATATTCAATGTCAAAGTCGAACGCCATCAGTCTAATCGCCCAACGTAATATTCTGGACGTTGTAACTTTCGGTAGCTCTTTTCTTGGGTTGAAAATAAATTCCAGTGGTCTGTGATCACTTTTCAACAAGAATTTTTTTCCCATCAAAAACTGTCTTGCTCTATCCGTTGTCCACACTATGGCTAGTGCCTCCCTTTCTATATTCAAATAATTGTGTTCAGTTGTTGTTAATCTCCTCGATAAGTACATTATGGGATGCCCATCTTGTGACAAAATACCAGATATGGACTGCTCACTAGCGTCAGCAGTTAGAGTTATGTCCTTCTTAGGGTAAAAAATTTGTACTATTGGCTTTTTTGCCAGAATCTGCTTTAAGTTTTCAAAGGCTTTCTGTTGGTGTTCTAACCAAATGAATTCCACATTTTTTTTTTCTTAACTTAGCAAATGGTTCTGTCAACTCATTATATTTTGGTACATATTTTCTATAAAATTTACCAAACCTAAGAAGGACTCAACTCTTTTTTTTTTTTCGTGTAGCAACTTTTAGAATTTTCTCTATTAGTACTTTATCTGGAGAGATCCCTTCCTTTGATATTGAGTAACCCAAAAATGATATTTCATTACTGTTGTTACACACTTTTTTGTATTTATTGTCATACCAGCGTCTCTTAGCCAGTTCAGTATATTTTCAGTTTTTTTCTTTAAATCATCTTCATTTAAATCTCCAACACATATATCGTCTTGATAACAGATGGTATTTTCAACATTTCCTATTACTTTTTCAATAGCTTTTTGAAAATTGCACTTGCCGTTTTTTATGCCATACGGCATTCTTTTCCACCTTAACAGGCCTATAGGTGTGTTTATGGTCGTCACTTCTTTAAAATTTTTTCATTTATCGGTTATTTGGTGGTAAGCTGATTTTAGGTCTATCTTCGAAAATACTTTCATTCCAGCAAGTTTATGTAAAGCTACTTCCACATTCGGAATAGGGTACGAGTCAGCTCAAACTTTATGGTTCACCCCTATTTTATAATCTCCACAAATTCTCAGGTCACCATCTTTTTTTTTCAATACCACAATGGGTGATGCCCACTTACTTCCTCCTGGAGGGGCAGGTTCTAATAAGTCTTTCTTTATTAGCTTTCGCAATTTGACTTTAAGAATTTCATTAATTTCAATAACATCTGTGGGATAATTAGATTTTTTATTGTTACTACAACTTTCTGGTAATATAAATTAGTTATGGTAGAGTGGTTTTCTCATATGTTCACTCAGAGACTATATTCTTGGCCAATCATTGTAATATTCCAGTAATAATAATGTCAAATAATTTTTAAATTATTTAACAATGGTACAAAGGTCAAAGAGTAGTGGGTATTGGTAAAATATGAGATTACTTACTAATCTGACTATTTCCAAAAAATGTGAATATAAGAAAATTAAAAAAAAGAATCACAAAAAGGCAGAAAAAATCATATTTCATATACAAAAATATCAAAGTAATTTTAGCATGTCAGTGTAATTGAGTTGCTGTGTTAGAATTTGAATAAAATCATTAAGATGTTAATAAAAATTGTATTTTTTAAAATTGATTCAGTGCTTCCTATCAATGTAAGTTTGGCAGATAAATTATTCATGAGATTCATAGATTCACTCATCCACTATTTTCCTGGTTAAGTAGTGTGACATACCAGTGACAAGGCATATTTTCAAGAGATCTGATGACAGAAAGTAAGAGGGAAGTAGAATTTTGTAAAATATAAAATTCTGTAATTTCTCATATGCTAAAAAGTGGAGAAAATATGAATATTAAAAACAAAAATTTTAAAAAGAATTAAAGATTTCTCTCATACAGATAAATGTTAAAAAAAGAATTTCAAATTTAAAAACATATACTTTATCCAACATTTAAAAAATAATATCTCTTCCAATATGTAGTGATAATATGCAATGACTTTAGAATGTCTGCATAACTGAATTAATATGTTTACAATTTGAATAAAATCATTAAAATTTTGATAAAAATTCTATTTTTAAAAACTTATTCATTGCATCCTATCAATAATGAGCTAATACAAGTTTAGCAAATAAATTATTCCTGAGAAATTTTCTGGGTTAAGCATTGTTACATACAAGTTATGAGGATTATTTTTCAAATGATCTGACAATGGCAGAATGGTCAAGGAGTAACGGACATTGGTAAATATAATATTAAGTATTTACCAATCTGACTACTTGATAAAAATATGAATAAATCACAAATATAAAAAAAAAAAAAAAAAAAAAAAACATCTCAAAAAAGGTTGATGAATATTTCATGGACAAAAATATCAAAATGTAATTTCAAATTAGTAAAATTTCTGGAAATAACAAACTTAAAATTCTGTATTTTAGCCAACATTTAAAAATAACATTTTTTTCAGATTGTAATGTTAATATCTCATGACTTTTTAGCACATCAGTGCAAGCGAGTTGACATGCTTCAAATTATGAAAATTATTAAAACCTTAAAGTAAAGATAAAGATTTATATTTTAAGTAATTTATTGATTGGCTATCAGTAAGAACTTCAAGGAAAGTCACTTTTATTACTACTACAACTATCATGTGCGTAGATAAAGTTGTTTTGAGTGAGTGGTTTTCACAAACATTACATCATGCACTCTTTTCTCAGTCAATCATTGTGATATAGCAGTAACAAGCAATAGTAGTATTAGTATAGATGAAGTAAATTTGAGAGAGTGATTTTCTCAGGTATTCTCTTATCTACTATTTTCTTGGTCAACCAGTGTGATATACCAGTAACAAGGAATAATCTCAAGAGATTTGACAATGGCACAAGCGTAAGAGGGAAGTTGAATTTTGTAAAATATGAAATTCTGTACTTACCATTCGGAACATGTCCTAAAAAAAGTATAGAAAATATGAATATTAATAACAAAAATCTCAAAAAGTATAACAGATTTCTATCTCATATAAATAAATATCAAAAGAAAATTTAAATTGGCAGAATTTTCTAGAAATAATAATCTTTAAATATATATTTTATCCAACATTTAAAAATAACACCTTTTCCTATATATAGTGCCAATATGCGATAATGTTTAGCATGTTAGAAAAAAAGAAATTTCAAGGTGGCAGGGTTTTCTGGTAATAAACTACAAACATGTACTATATCCAACATTTAAAAATAACATCTTTTTCATATTGTAATGTTACTATCCCATGACTTTTTGGCACATCAGTGCAAGTGAGTTGACATGCTTAAAATTATGAAAAATTAAACACTTAAAGTAAAGAGAAAGATATATATTTTAAGTAATTCATTGATTGGCTACTATCAGTAAGTACTGTAAAGAAAGTCACTTTTATAACTGCTACTACTACTACTTTTACAGATAAAGTAGTTTTGAGAGAGTGGTTTTCACAGGGATTCTATCATGCATTATCTTCTTGGTCAACCAATGTGACATACAAGTGACAAGGCATATTTTCAAGAGATCTCACAATAACATAAAATGGAAGAGAGAAGTAGAATTTTGTAATATATAAAATTTTGTACTTACCATTTGGAACATCTCCTAAAAAGGTAAATAAATTATGAATATTAAGAACAAAATATCTCAGAAAGGATAACAGATTTCTATCTTTTATATATGTAGTGATACTAGCAAATTAGTATGCATAATTTGCATAGCTATAAGTGAACACTTTTATAAGTGGTCACTGAGAATAACCATGTCAAAGAAACCTGTAGTGAAAATTTTTGATCCAAAAAAGGACATAACACTCACTACAGATGCAAGTGAACATTCAATATCGGGAATATTATCACAAGAAGGACATCCGATAATGTATTTGTCGAGAAGGTTAACGAACACTGAATTTAATTACTCGAACATAGAGAAAGAAGCATTGGCTATTGTGTGGACAACTACCAGAGCCTGACAATTTTTAATTGGAAAAAAATTTCTATTAAGGTGTGATCATAGACCATTAGAGTTTATATTTAACCCAAGGAAAGAATTACCCAAAGTCACGACATCAAGGATTCTACGATGGGCGATAAGATTGATGGCATTTGACATATAGAGTATGTCAAAAGAAATTCAATTCCACATGTGGACGCACTATCAAGGTTGAGATTTTACAAGAAGTCAAAAGACAAAACAGAGGAAGAATTTGAAGATTCATTCCTACACTTGATAGAGACTGATGTTTTGTCTTTAGACAGAATAGCTGCGGAAACGAGACATGATCTGGTGCTAAGTAGGATAGTATCGAGAATAAGAAAAAATTCGTGGGGAAATTGTTCTAGGGCGGAAAGACCTTATAAAGAAATAAGACACAAATTAACAATAGAACATGGAGTGATTTGCAATGGGGACCTGGTAGTTCCCCCAGAAACACAAAGAAAACCGATAATAGAAAGTGTACATAATGATATACACTGTGGAGTAGCAGCCACACAAAAAAAGGATAAAATTAGAAGATTGGTGGCCGGGTTATTCAAGAGACGTTGAGGAATATGTAAAGAAGTGTAAAAAATGTAAAGAATTAAGAAACTTTACACAAACCAAATTACATCCGTGGCCCAAAGAAGTGGAGCCATGGAGTAGTGTGCATATGGATCATGCATACGTTAATGGAGTGGGACTCTTATTAATATTGGTAGACTCTTTTTCAGGTTGGCCTGAAATAATCCGGGTTACAAACAAGAAAAGTTCTACTATAAAGCAAATTCTAAGAGTAATATTTTCCAGAAATGGCATACCAAAAACCTTGGTATCTGATAATGCACCAGAATTTTGTGAGGAAGAACTTAACATATGGTTAGAAAAAATAGGGTGTAAACCATATAAAACCCCTCTATATCACCCTCAATCAAACGGACTAGCAGAAAGAATGGTTCAGACCGTAAAAAAGGGGCTAAAAGCATGCTCTCAGCAAAAAGAAAAAGTAGAAGTTTTTCTACCGAGGCTGCTTTTAAGTTAAAGGATGATACCACATGCGGGAAGACTCGAAAGCCCATCAGCTTTAATGGGGAGACAGATTAGAACTCCGCTAACAATTTCATACTCTACAAATGAAAAGATATGGTACAAAAAGAGCAAGGATGTGGATCTGGAAGGAGCCAAGTTTATAATGCAAAAAGGCCATAATACAGCCATAATAAATAGAGAATGGTGATAGTGTGTTGGCCCATGCTGACCAAATAAGGACCCAGGGTGAAGAGGAAGAACAAAATGACGAAGAAATGTCTTAAATTCCATCTGATAATGAGTTGGTAGAACAATCATTACAGAAGGAAACGTCGGAAGAGGAAACAATGCAGGAGGAAGAGGGCCAGAAGGAGTCTGAAAGTTCAGACGAAGACCAGATTATGCAAGAAAATATATATGACTACAGCCTAGACAGGGGACAGATCGAGGTCTCCCAGGGAAAGAAATACGGGAGAGAGAGAAATGGAGCAGAGTGATGAAAATAGCAGAAGAAGGAGTACAAGATCTACGAGAGGAATAAAGCCCTTAAGGTTCAGGGAGATGTAATGATACTAGCAAATTAGTATGCATAATTTGCATAGATATAAGCGAACACTCTTATAAGTGGTCACTGAGAATAACCACTACTAGTGTGAGTCTAGCGACTGATTAGTGCTAACCTCTACTTCACAACAATATAAATAACAATCATTGTGATATAGCAGTAACAAGCAATAGTAGTATTAGTATAGATGAAGCAGATTTGAGAGAGTGATTTTCTCAGGTATTCTCTTATCTACTATTTTCTTGGTCAACCAGTGTGATATACCAGTAACAAGGAATAATCTCAAGAGATTTGACAATGGCACAAGCGTAAGAGGGAAGTTGAATTTTGTAAAATATGAAATTCTGTACTTACCATTCGAACATGTCCTAAAAAAGTATAGAAAATATGAATATTAATAACAAAAATCTCAAAAAGTATAACAGATTTCTATCTCATATAAATAAATATCAAAAGAAAATTTAAATTGGCAGAATTTTCTAGAAATAATAATCTTTAAATATATATTTTATCCAACATTTAAAAAATAACACCTTTTCCTATATATAGTGCCAATATGCGATAATGTTTAGCATGTTAGAAAAAAAGAAATTTCAAGGTGGCAGGGTTTTCTGGTAATAAACTACAAACATGTACTATATCCAACATTTAAAAATAACATCTTTTTCATATTGTAATGTTACTATCCCATGACTTTTTGGCACATCAGTGCAAGTGAGTTGACATGCTTAAAATTATGAAAAATTAAACCCTTAAAGTCAAGAGAAAGATTTATATTTTAAGTAATTCATTGATTGGCTACTATCAGTAAGTACTGTAAAGAAAGTCACTTTTATAACTGTTACTACTACTACTTTTACAAATAAAGAAGTTTTGAGAGAGTGGTTTTCACAGGGATTCTATCATGCACTATCTTCTTGGTCAACCATTGTGACATACAAGTGACAAGGCATATTTTCAAGTAATTCATTGATTGGCTACAATCACAAAGAACTGCAAGGAAAAAGTTACTTTTTATAGTCATCACCACCACCACCACCACAACCATAAAAGTAGTTTTGAGGGAGAGGTTTTCTCAGGCATTCTCTCACCCATTATTTTCTTGGTCAACCAATGTGACATACAAGTGACAAGGCATATTTTCAAGAGATCTCACAATAACATAAAATGGAAGAGAGAAGTAAAATTTTGTAATATATAAAATTTTGTACTTACCATTTGGAACATCTTCTAAAAAGGTAAATAAATTATGAATATTAAGAACAAAATATCTCAGAAAGGATAACAGATTTCTATCTTTTATATAAATAAATGTCAAAAGAAAATTCAAATTGGCAGGATTTTCTGGTAACAAACTACAAATATGTATTTTAGCAAACATTTAAAAATAATATCTTTTACAATATATAGTGACAATGTTTGATGACTTAACATGTCTGCATAATTGAGTTGACATGCTGAAAATTTGAATAAAATTTTTAAAATCTTGATAAAAATTGTATTTTTAAAAACTTACTCACCAATTGGAACATCTCCTGAAAGGGGATAGAAAATATGGATATTAACAAAAAAGTCAAAAAAGATTAGGGATTTCAATAAATAAATGTTAAAATGTTTCAAATTGTTAGGATTTTCTAGTAATTACTTTATCCAACATTTAAAAATAACATCTTTTTCATATTGTAATGTTACTATCCCATGACTTTTTGGCACATCAGTACAAGCGAGTTGACATGCTTCAAATTATGAAAAATTAAACCCTTAAAGTAAAGATAATGATATATTTTAAGTAATTCATTGATGGACTACTATCAGTAAGAAATACAAGGAAAATTACTTTTTACAGCCAGATAACCATCATAAAAGTAATTTTGAGGGAGAGGTTTTCTCAGGCATTCTCTCACCCATTATTTTCTTGGTCAACCAATATGACATACAAATGACAAGGCATATTTTCAAGAGATCTCACAATATAATATGGAAGAGAGAAGTAAAATTTTGTAAAATATTAAGTTCTGTACTTACCATTCTGAACATGTCCTAAAAAAGTATAGAAAATATGAATATTAATAACAAAAATCTCAAAAAGTATAACAAATTTCTATCTCATATAAATAAAGATCAAAAGAAAATTTAAATTGGCAGAATTTTCTAGAAATAATAATCTATAAACATATATTTTATCCAACATTTAAAAATAACACCTTTTCCTATATATAGTGCCAATAACATTTAGCATGTCAGTTGGCATACTAAAATTATGAAAATTAAACCTTTAAAGTAAAGATAATGATATAATTTAAATAATTCATTGATTGACTACTATCAGTAAGAAATAAGTTACTTTTTATAGCCAG